AAGTCCCCTCAGAATTTCAAGAACTCAGCCATAGGACATGTCATTCAACATGGTGCCCTTCTAAGAACACAGTCCTGTGGGATCACGTAGGTCCCATGCTCATTCTGCAGCCTGTCTTGTCTTTAATTCTGTCTTCCTCTGGAGGGCAAAGACCTTGTCTCGGTCTTTCTATAGCTCCGTAATATAGAGTAGGGTTCCATTCACTTATCCAAGCACTTATACCAAGTGTTGATTGTTTGTAACACTCCTGAGGAGAGGTATCATCTTTATTCCCATTGGACAGATGAGGAAACCAAACCCTGCAGAGATCAAGCTATTTATTCCAAGTCCTAGACCTTCTGTGAGAAAGAGGCAGGATTTAAACAAATGCACGACTCTCCTTTGACAGTGCCTTCCAGGAGACATTTGACAATACCTGTCAACCTTTTGGGTTGTTCAACTGGGGGTTGCTACTGGCATCTAGTGGGTAGAGGTCAGGGATACTGTGAAATATCCTGCAGTACACAGGACAGCCCCCCGCTCCACGGGTGCATCTACCCCAAAAGGTCAACAGTGCTGAGGTAGAGGAAACAACTTCTGAAACAAACCCCATTCCTCCTAAACTTCAACTTTCATTACCAGACATTTATGCTCTTTTCTTTATTGGTAAATACTAAAATGTATTTATTTTTTAAGTTGACTTTACATTAATGTACTTAAAAATTAACTATGACTTAAACACGGCTGTTTGTGAATTCACGTGTTTGATGTGTTCTTTTTTCTTAATACATATGGAAATAAATATGAAAGTGTTAATATAGAAAGATCTTTGTTGGAGGTACCACTAAAAATCATCTCTTGTACCCCCACCAGTCTGGGGGAACCAAACCTGACTACTGGAAGGTTTTCCTTGTCTCTTCAGACAGAGAAAGTGAAATACATCCAGTCAGTGAGTCTGGAAGCTGGCAAGGTGCGAGCTACATTTTGCTTCTGTTTCCTCGCTTTTTTTCTCAAGGCTAACAGTTGCTTAGAAACCTCTTTGAAACCCTAAAAGCCACCTGATCAGGACAGCCAACAAACAACTCATTGAGGTGAGGACAGCCGCTGTACACATGATTTAATTTGTCCAGCTGCTCATGAACATTGGTTGCAATGTAGCCCTGGTCAGCCACCGTTCTTGCTACATTGTTCCCTTGCTTAATTGTTGGGGAGTAAAACTGCATTCTCTCCTTGCAGTGAGTGCTGCAGCCTGACATAATTAAGGCTGGAGCAAACGAGATTATTCTTTAGATATTAAAAGTGCCTGTGTTGTAAATAACAATGCCATCTCTTTCATAGAAAGCACTTTCATTATGAGATGCATTTTAATTTCAACACATTTGCATGAATTCATTTAGGTAGTGGTAGTGGAGGGGGACATTTGTGGATGATATTTCATCTTTTACATACTTGCGGGGTGTTTCAATTAGGTATTTTGTGACCAACACCCCACCCCCCATACAAAGCCCCTAAAAGAATTACCCTTTTAAATCATCTGTTCCAAACAAGGACATACTCCAAATAATCACACACGAATTAGGAGGTACTGACTACATCTAGTGACTAGATGTGCCCAGAGGAAATCAACTTTTTTGAAGAGTAAATGCACAAAGATGATTTTTTTACTCTTCTAAATATTTTTTTTCAAGGCTTGGAGGGGGGGGGGCAGGGTTTCAGGGGACAGCAGCAGCAGCCACCTGGGTGGGCGAACCAGGAGGCTCACGATTTAGAATCATTAGCAAATAAGCCACACAAGGTGGATTGGCTGCTTCTTTCTGAAGCACAATCCTTGTACTCTTCTTGTCACAAACAGGGGGCAGTCTCTGTTAATTAAAGCCTGGAGCAGCAGCCAGAGTGAGTCTCCTTGGAGGACCAGAGTTAATGTCCTGGTGACAGCCAATCTTATAGAGATTGGAGGCAGATTCTGAAATGGACTTTTCTATCCATATTTTGTCTCTTTTCTCTATGGTGGTTTTTTTTTTTTTAACAAAATCAAATTTAGAAGTATCTTAAAATCCCCAATCCTTGCAGGAAGGTGCCTGGGACTGCTCTTCTACTGGGTCCCTGTAAATCATGTTTGCTGGGAGGTACCACAGGAAGGTGAGCGTGGATGGGGGCGGCAGGAGATTCCCAGATTAGCAACCAGAAGCTTGCATCCAGCCCTGGCTTTACCATTTTCTAGACAAAACTCTGAACCTCTCTGAGCCTCAGATTCCTGGACCCTAGGAGGCCTGCTGGAAGACCTCTTTGCAAACCTGACTTAGTACTGTGTAGATGTCTCCCAACCCTTTTGCATATGTCATGACTTCAGCAACTCCATCATTGGGATCCTAAATGGATGTGCTATGTACTCAAAAATATTTATGCTGAGGGACAGTTAGGCAGGAAAGACCCTTTCCATCACCAAGTTTATATCACAGTGTTTGGAGTCAGGCAAAAACCATAATATCAGGTAGATAAAGAATTTGGAGGCCTAGTCTAGGAAGGAACTACATGAAGTTGTTAGAACACAGACTTCCCATTTCTCGGGTCCAGTGCCAGCTCCAACACTCTTGCTGGGAAACCAGAACTATGCTGGGCAACCTGTTTAATTGCTTTGAGACTCAGTTTTTCCCCTTGTGCTGTTGGCCTGATAATGTTACCTAACAGGTAGAGATCTAAATGAGATCCTTCATTCAGTGCTTCAGCAAGTATTTCATGGTTGTCTGCTATATGCACTAGGCGCTGCTCTAAGCTTCCATGAGGTGATTTTAGAAAAAGCAAGCTTGGGAGGGCATGTTGCAAGGGCTGAATAAATGTCAGCTATCATTAGCGCTCACACACCAATGCTTATGTTTGTAGGACTCACAGGGTGGCGGTTGGCATGGGTTGCCAATCATGGCAGACATGCCACAATGTGCTATTTTGGGGATCCTATTATAATGAATCTGATGATTTTGGATTAAACAATCTCACACCTTCCCCAGGTGAGGATGAGCTATAATAAATTCCATAACACACAGAGAGAGTCTTCCAGTGGCTGCTCTATTCCTGTATAGGCTCTATTGAGGTTGCCCTGGTGTGTGTTGGCCAATCTTTTTTTAAACATCAGAAGGTGGTGTTTCTTCAAAGGAAAGAGGCTATCAGCCAAACTCCCTTTCATTCCGAGAAAACTTACAATGGAGCACCAATAAATCTTACCACGCTTTCAGTTAAGGGGACCTTAACATACCATTTCACATGTGGCCCAACTTCTTGTTCCTTTGAAAATGCCCTGAGAAACCCTTGGCTGCAGCCAAATGGGGAGGGTGATGGAAACATTTCCCTACAAATAGTCTAGCAGACTGCAAAGTGTATACTTAGTTAATGCAATTAAAAAACAAAACGCCGGGGCGTGTGGAGATCTAAATTTGGTGTAGCAGCTTTGGTACACATCCTGTTTTGGGGGCTACTGAAGTCAAATTCAAGCAGAGAGGAAGAAGTGGGAGAAATGGGAGAGGGCCGACGGATGGCTGGAATCCGCTTGGAGAGAGAGGGCAGATTTGGGAACGCGGAGAAGAGAGACTGGAAGCCAAGCCAGGCCGAACTCCGCAGCCCTCGGGTGAGGAAGCCCAGCGGGCTTGGTGGGGACAGGGGACAAACGATTCGGGAAATAACGAGCGAGCTGCAGGAACGGCAGGGTGGCTGAGGCTTGAGTCCCCAGGCCTTGCGCTGCGCCAGATCTGGGAGCGCAGAGGCGGCGCCGCGGTGTGCCCTCCTGTGGAGCTCAGAGAACGCGGCGGGGGCGAAGAGGGACCGAAAGCGCGAGGTCTGAGGGGTTGGGAGAGTTCCAAAGAAAGACCTTCCAGTTCACGCCGTTGCCTCGGCCTTGTCCGCTGCGTCTCTCTATCCGCTGTGCTTCTTTGACGAGTTCATCCCAAGCCCCTCTCCCGAGGAGTGCTTACCCCAACCCCGGAGGGGGGGCCCAGTGTAGGAGCTTGCCACCCCACCTTCCCAGCCCAGCCTTGGTCCTCGCCTCTGCCCAGGGACTTCAGCCATCCTAGTCGCGCGCCGGGTGGAGGGCATAACCCCAGGAAGGGCAAGGCAATTCCATACGCCTGGGAAGGGCGATCCTGAGCAGACTGCGCCTAGTCTGTTTTGGAGTGAAAGCCATCTAGTCTGTCCTCATTCTCCCCGAGTCACCCCTTTTCTGGTGGGCATATTCCAGCCGCAGATCCTGCGCATGAACCCCTGAAAAAGCCACCGGCAGGATCGCCTCTGTACCCTGGACAGGTCTGAGCCTCGCCTCCAAGAAGGCGCGGGAGGTCCCGCCACGGTCCTCCACCTGCCGGGAAATCCGAGCTGTTCTTCCAGTCTCGGCGGCTGCAGAGCTCGCTCCTCCCTGCTCGCCCGCCTGGTTCAGCTCTGCACGCCCCCCAACTCGCTCCCGCCCGCCCCAGTCACCTCTCCCTGCGCCCCCGCCCCTCTCGAGCTCGCGCCCGCCCCCCCACCCCCAACCCGCGCCTCCTCTGCCCGCCCTCCTCCCCCTCCCCCTTCCCTCCTGCCCTCCCTTCATTCCACAAGTGTCGCTTCGCTCTCTCCAGCGCACTTGGCGAGCTGGAGAGGTGAGAGGATCCAGCCAACGGACGCGGGGCGGCGAGTCCCGAGCCGCAAGCGGAGGGGAGGTGCGGACAGACCCACTCTCCCCTGCTCTCCGCCCCCGCCTCCCCCTGTGGCCGGTCGGACCTGCACCCCGCGCTTGCCCCCGCTCATCCTCCCCCCGCCCGGCCCGGCGCGCTCCTCCCCGGCCGGCCCCACGGCGCACAGCGCGCTGGAGGCGAACGCAGGCTGAGCCGAGCGCAGTGGCTGCCGACCACCGGGTGCCCCGCGCCGCTCCCTGCATGTGCGGCTCGCGGCGGCTCGCAGTCCCCGGCAGCAGCCTCGGCAGCTTCGGCCGCTCCTCGAGAGGCGGCTGCAGCGGCTCCAGCAGCGGCCGAGCGGTCGAGCCCGGGCTGGGAGACACGATGCGCCGAGTCCTCCGGCTGCTCCTCGGCTGTTTCCTCACCGAGCTGTGCGCCCGCGTGTGCCGGGCGCAGGAGCGAGCCGGGCACGGGCAGCTGGCGCAACTGGGAGGCATGCTGGTGCTCACGGGGGGCAACCGCTCCGGGGCTGCCTCCGGAGAGGCCGGCGAGGGCGCTGGGGTCTCGGACGCACCCCCGACTCGGGCGCCCACGCCGGACTTCTGTCGGGGTTACTTCGATGTCATGGGCCAGTGGGACCCGCCGTTCAACTGCAGCTCGGGCGACTTCATCTTCTGCTGCGGGACTTGTGGCTTCCGGTTCTGCTGCACGTTTAAGAAGCGGCGACTGAACCAAAGCACCTGCACCAACTACGACACGCCGCTGTGGCTCAACACTGGCAAGCCCCCGGCGCGCAAGGACGACCCCCTGCACGACCCCACCAAGGACAAGACCAACCTGATCGTCTACATCATCTGCGGGGTGGTGGCTGTCATGGTGCTCGTGGGCATCTTCACCAAGCTGGGGCTGGAGAAAGCGCACCGGCCCCAAAGGGAGCACATGTCCAGGTGGGCTGCCTCCCTTTCGCCCTCCCCTCCAGGCTTCACTTTCCATTCTGTCCCTTCCCCAGCTCCTCCAGGCAATGGCACCCCCCCACACCCAGCCTCTCTGCTAGGGGATGTCACCGGAAGCCAACTTTGGCTTAGAGCACGGAGAAGGGGCGCTGGGCTCAGCACAGGTGGGGGTGAGCGCGTGCATGGAGGGGGTCTCTCTATCACTCGCCCTTTCGCTGCCACCTCCTGCCAATGATGCAGGTGAACTTGAGGCGTTCGGCGTGGGAGCCCTTATCCCCGAAGTCTTGGGTTTTTGTGAAAGGGATCTGTGGCATCCCTCCGATTCCAGATGCTAACCTCTAGGTAAACAGAGGCAGATGAGCCCGAAAGGGAAGGGGGGCGTGTGTGAGCCCGCGTGCGTGTGTGTGTGTGAGAAGGAGGGAGGGAAGGAGTGAGTGCAGCCTGCAACTCGTACGACTAGCGAAAATGAGGCGAAGGAGGGGGAGAGTGAGCGGAGGGTGAGAACAAAAGCCTTGCTGAAGCGGCCGGCTTGCTTTCCCAGATCTTCTAGGTCTCTGAAATTGGGACCACATCTCCCCCTACCTCTTTATCCCTTTAGTCCCTTTCTCCCGCCGCCACCCCCCCCCCCCACCCCCAGGCAGCGGCCATCACTGCGCGTCTGTGCCCCTTGCTCTGGCTGGCGCGGACACCAGGGGCCCGAGCCCCCTCCACGCGCGCCTTCACCAGCCAAGCACCCTGATTCGTCAACTTTCCCGTTTGCCTTATTCATTATGCAAGTCCCAGCACTGGCAAGTCGCAGCAGATGGGAGAAGGCATTTGGGGATTAATGGAGCTATTTGCCTTTTGCTTTTTTTTTTTTTTTTAAGTGTTTAAATTGATTCTCACAACTCAGTAACTTCGGAGGCGGAGGATGCAGTCCTGAGCACGCAGCCCCAGGCCAAGGATGAGGCAAGGGGTTAGTGTGAGGTCCGGGCTGGTAAACAGGAGCTAGGAGGGATAGGCGAACAGCTGGATGACTGGGGCATAAGCCTTAAAACTGTCCTTTTCCAAGTCGGGGCAATGAAGTCTCTGTGCCCACCCCTCAGCCCCCACCTCCTCCGGGGGCCCGTGTGTGCGCGTGTGTGCACGCGCTCCATGTGCATGCCTAAAAAATCTGAACAAAGAGACCCACCAAAAATAGGCGAAGGAACATCACCACCTCACTAGTAATTATTTTCTATTTATACGCAGAGTATCCGATGAATATTTTTCCCCCAGAGGGGAGGGATTTTTGGGGGGGAAGAGATGAGAAGTTCTGGTGGGTTCGGGTCTGCGGGAGGTGTGGGTGGTCTCTGAAGCAAGCTCCAGGGATTGGAGAACCCTGACCCACTAAGGGAGTAATGCGCTGGCCCCGCCCACCTCCTGCAACTCCAAGGTGCCCTGGGTCATTTTAATTCCCCACAGTCAAGCCAGTCCCTATCGATTCTCCTGGTCTGTGTTAAGGTGAGGGGGGCAGGCAGACGCAGGACTGCGGCAGCGGGTGTCCGCCTTGTAGGGAAGGATTACACAGACACAGGTAGGCTGCTTTGTGGATTCAGGCTAACTCCTTAAATCTCCACCAAGCCCTTTCCTGGCAACCGATTTCCTTCAAGAAGCCATCCTTGGGAGCTAGAGGGGCTGGAGGTGGGAAGGTGGGGGAGAGAAGCTAACCTTTGTGGACCTGTGGGAGAAACTGGTGCTCACTTCAAGCCCCCTTTAGTGTCCTGATGGAAGAGCTCTCCACCAATACCTGGGGTCCAGCAGGGATCCAAATTTCTGTCATTGTCTCCTGGCAGCTCTGTGAGGGGACATGACTCCAGTTAAGCTGGTTGCAGGCACATTCTTCCGCAGGTACCCAGAAAGTTCCAGTTGGAGGCAGTGTCTATGGGTACTCAGTCCCGGGGTAGCAGCATCTCTACCAAGGCTCTCCCTCTATAAATCCTGGGACCTCTAGAGTGGAGTGGAAATGCATACTCCTGAAAAGAGAGAATTGTTGATTTTTACTGGCAGCTTCTAAGGTATGATTTTCAACCCTGCTGCTGTTTGAGATCACCTTGTAATGCTTACCAAAAAAAAAAAAAAATCCTGTTGCCAGGAGCTCCACTTTTGACTCTTTAAATCAGAATTTAGGGTGTCAGTACTTTTGAAAAGCTCCCCAGGTGATTCTAAGGCTCACACAATCACTGCTAAGGAAAAGGAATTAACATCTGCTGAGCCCGGTGCTGGGTGCCAGGCATTGTACCAGGGTGTGTGTGTGTGTGTGTGTGTGTGTGTGTGTAAAAGCTCTCTCAATTAGTTCTCACAGCTACCCTAGGAGACAGGTGCTCTTATAATTACCATTTACATATGAGCAAATCATGGCGCAGGTAAGGTAGGCTGCCCAAAGTCATAATTAGAAAATTGTGCAATCTCTAGTCTCTTGATTTCAACTTGTGTCTGGGGCAGATGTTTTCAGATCCAACCACAGAATGTGGAGTGGCTTCCCATGTAGCAGACTCACAAGTTCCATCCCCAGAAAGCCTGAATCAATAGGTTTGGAGCAGGCCCCAGAAATCTGCTTTTAACTACCTCCCCTGAATGGCTCTGAGATCAGTGGTCCACATTGGGGGAAACACTACTTTTGGGATTGGAAATATTTTACAGAGTTGGGAGATGGATAAATTAATCCAGGACAGGAGAGGGGCCAATGTGATTCTCTTATTTGTATTCCATTGCTTGTTTTCTCCATGTATATAATCTTTCTGTGCTACTTGGGCTGCCCCAGGTACCCTCCAAGAGCCTGATGTGCTGCTTATTCAGTTAATCATTTGGAGTATGGCAGTTGGCTCATTAACTTTTGCCTGATGGTGCTAAGGAATCCTCTTGTGGGGGCCAGCACACCAAGTCTGGCAGCAGAGAGGCTGCTATGAAATGAGGCAGCTTCCAGGTAAAATTAACCTGCCAGCCACAGCCTTTTAATTTTTGTCTGGAGCTGCCAGGAACACTGAGATGAGGTGTGTTATCATCTTGCCTGAACGCACCTTCTCTTCAAGGACATGGAGCATGTGGCTGTGCCCTCATTGCAAACTTTGCCCCTGGGTGACCAGCAAACTTGTATTCTCCTGCTAAGTCTTCCAGCAGGTCAGGGTGCAGGCTTAGAGTCCCTGGCATATGGCTTGCTTCCTCCTGGATTGATTAGGGCTGAGACAAGGAGAAAGACAGCCATTCAGGAAGGGGGCAGGGAGTGAATGTGATCTTATAAGTAACGGTGCAAATGATCATTTAGCAGCAGTGGCTGAACTATTTACACGCAAAAATTATTTACTGGAAGAAGTGACTGCAAATGGTAGTCAACTGTGGAGATTCATTTTGTTTAGTCTGTAAGGTATTTCTACTTATTTTTATTTTAAAGTTTTCCATATTTTTTATTATGAAAAAAATTTAAATGAACATCTTGAAAGAATAATAAAATGAACTCCAGGATATCCTTCCTTTAGATTAGGGTTCTCAACCTCAGCACTATTGACATTGAGGGATTTGTTGTAGGGGAGTGTCCTAAGCATCCTTGACCTGTACCCCACTGGATGCCAGTAGCACATTCCCCATACCCTAGTTACAATTAAAAAAAAATTTCTCCAGATATCACCATGTGTCATGTAGGAGCAAAATTGCCCCCAGTGGAGAGCCACTGATCTCAATTGAACAATTATTAGTATTTTTTTATGTTTGCTTTATTGCTGTTCATATATCACCTGCCTCTCCTTCCTTTCTCTGTCTCTCTCCTCATTTCCTCCCATCTTTCCCTCCCTCTCTCTTTCCTTGTATTTCTTTATTTTTTTTTGTCTGAAACATTTGAAAATACATTGCAGACATGACACCTAGTCCCTCAGTACTTTTGGATCTCTTAATGAGAATATTCTCCCATATGTCACAATCCCATTATCATACCCAAGGAAGAGAACCAGAATTCAGCACTATCATCAAATACCCAATCACTCAATCCAGTGATACCAAAAATGTCTTAAGGAGCTTGGTTTTTCAAGTCAGGGTGCATTGTATTTGCCTGTGAAATCTCTTTAGTCTTCAATATGCATGGTGTTTGAAAGCCAACTTCCGATCAGTGGCCAGTGTTTCAAAACTGGGAGATTTCACACAGAAACCCAAATTCCCAATTTGAGAATTCAGTAGGTCAGGCATTTTTACACAGCAACTATTGGTTGCAGCTGGGTGATGACTGCCCCCTTTAAGAGTCTCTTGTGTTCATCTGAGTCCCCCCCCCCCACCAGTTATGCCACCTGCAGACCTGGGACAGTCATTCAGACTGGTCTGAGCAGCCTGGGCTCCAGCCCAACTGCCTGAGGTTCAATCCCAGTTCATCACTCAATAGTCAGGTGACCTTGGGAAGGTTGCTTCACTTCTGAGACTCAAGTTCCCCTCTGTGGGTTGAGAACTCACTGAAGACTAGGTTTGGAAAGTGACCCCCACAGACTACCACACATGGCCCCTGCTCAGAAATCATTCACTACCCTTTCTCGTCATTTTATTATTGGGATTTTGTCCCTCTTGTCTACTGAACAGAGTGACATCGGAATCTGGATCTTGGTGTCCAGCCCTTGCTCTGTGACACTGGCCAAGTCTAACCTTTCTGGACTTGCATGCTTTGGAATTTGTTTTTTATCCATTCATTATAGATATGCATAATATTGGGGTTTGTTTTGACACAATTATGATGGAACTGGAGAACATCATGCTAAGTGAAATAAACCACACTCAGAAACTCAAGGATTGAATGTTTTCTCTCCTATGTGGAAGCTAGGGAAAAATAAATAAAAATTTTAAAAAGGAGACAGAAGGAAAGAAAAAGAAAAAGGAGGGTGGATCCCATGAAAATGGATCAGTGGAGTAGATAAAGGGGACTGAAGGGAAGAGAGAGGGTCGAGGACAGGGAAGAATGTGGAGTGAATCTGAGCAAACTTTGCTTTGTACCCATATGAATA